TGCCGTTTTCAGCTTATCTAATTTTCGTTCAATTGTCATGGGGCCAGGATTAGACTCTACATCCCCAGATATCAAAAGCAGCATCAACATAGCATTTGCTACACTAAACAGTTTGAAAAACCGAGAGTGCCGAGACAGAAGAGGTTCAGGCGATGTGGTGGTAGGGGATGTAAACTTTGTTTTAATCTATTTACGAGCGGCAGATATGTGCTCGGTACGTTGATACATCGACACGCATAATGCACAGACTCTGGGGAATTTGCACCAAGCTGCCGCCGTTACCTAATTCATAATTTTCGCGTCGCATTTTCCTATCGCCGGCCTTCCGCCTGCAGCTCGAGTGAAAACTTTAGTTCACCGTCATGCTTCGCACATACTTGACGTCCGCCTATAATGGACCGTTCTAGTGATTTTCTATGACGCTCAGCAAATCAGGTGTTCGATGCATGTGTTTTTAATTGGCATATATACATGTTTGAGTGCTTGCATGTTTTTTTTTCAGAACTCTTTATTTGGTCAACTCCGTATTTTGTGTGTATTTCAAGAATGTGTGCTCAACCCAGTAGGCTTTCGAGCTGTTGGCTAGCACAAGGGAAAAATAAACATTGATTGATTGATTGATTGATTAAAGTCTCAATGAAACTATATGTATGTTTTCAATACTTATTAAGTTATGTAGTACAATTTTTGCAATTATTTTGGTAATTACTGTGTTATTCTGCAATGTCCGCCGTGTCTGGCAGTTTTTTACAGAAAATAGTTTCTTTTTATCTTAACCACATTATTTAAAGTGATTCCTTAAAATATGCACCGAAATACTTGTTATTTCTATAATGGAACAATGCGAAGCATCAGAAAATTATGAATTAAAGATATTCCAGGTCATTGCTGTAAGTAATTTTATTCTACCGTCCTTAAGCACCCTTGCGCGAGCGTAAACTATTCGTTATTATCACGTCTTTCGCTCTGAAGCATCCGGTAGCGCTGTGCGTGTCAACGTTTCGTTCTGGCGCTATTGACACTAGAACATATTTAGATTGTTTATTAAGGCGAAAGCCTTATATGTCTCATCGTTCAGTCGACCTTCAATATCCTTGAGGGAAAACACGTCGGTGCCACGAAAGGTTTCAATTCTTTTGTGACAACTCAGGCTAATTAGAGGCAATGAAATTAAGAAGGATGGCAAAGCGAATTAAGAGGGATCAAAGATACTGAAGAGGGATTAAAGGGAGTTAAAGAGTAATTAAAGGGAAGCAGGAGTAATCAACGGGAATTAAGAAGGACTATAAAGCGAACTAAGGGGAATCAAAATGAATTAAGAAGAATCGAACTGAATTAAGAGGAAGTAAAGTGAATTAAGAGAAATTAAAGAGCAGTAAGAGGACTACGAGGAATTATGTGCGAGAAATCTGGAAATAACATAAAACAAATGAAAGGAATGTCAAAAAAGAGAATGTGTAAAAATAGAGCATGAAACAAAGTAAATCATGTGTTGTCTATATTTCATAGGCACTTGGGCTTTCGCCTTCAAGTCGTTTTAGGGATATTATATGAGCCCCTGTGTTTTTCTTATCAAGGCATTTGACTTTGTAAACTATGACTCATTATTTAATAAACTTACCTCACTGTCGCTCGATAATAACGTAATGGGATGGCTAAGCGACTACCTTATCGAGCAAAAGCAATGTGTTATATGGAAGGGGAAGAAGCCCTGATTATTCAGCAGTGAATTCTTGTGATCCTCAAGGCCCTAGTCAAGGTCCATAGGTTTTCCTGATTTACGAAAACTATATTATTGAAGTCATAAAACAAATATGAGATTTGTTGGCAGATGGTTCTATTATTTATTGATTAATAAAAAATTCAACGATATAATGTTTTGGTATAGTGATCGAGACAACATTTTGTGACGGTGTCACAACTGAACAATTACTTACATGTTTAAAAGTGAATAATCAAGAGGATTACTGAAAAAAATATTTTTTCTTCCTACGATTGAGGTTAGAATATAAAATAGTTTGGTATAGTGTTATGCTATATAACGACTTAAAGTGGAAGAGTTACGTTGGAGTGATAGCTTTAAAGTATATAAGCATGCTTTAATTGATATGGCAAAATCTTGGGCAGGGTTCAAGCAAAACTACAAAAGAAAACTTTGTATTTTACACTTATATATCGGTTATCTGGAACCTCCACGATACGTTTTTATGGTATAGACAAAAAAACGACACCACAGTGTTAGATTGGTATTAAATATCAACCAATTTGGGTGAGAGTCTTAAGTATGCATGAAAAACATGTTGCAATCGGAGTTACTTAGGGAACAGAGAAATTATTTTTGTGTCATTTTATATATACCTTATATGACAATAAACTCTTAATAAGGATAGGCTATTAATCCTCATTTCACATGTCGGAAAGACCGGATCACTTAAGTAAAATCCTACACTATTCCTTTGATAGCGATGTTTGTTTTAACGCGAAAGCATTATATGGGCCTCATTACGCGAAAATCCGGCGTCGTCGGCGGCGCGACCGAGCGATGGTACCAAACATGGCGGACGGCTCAAAGAGTAAAAACACGTCAAAAATGATCAGATTGACATCAAATGTCTAAAATAAAATTTCGTACATTTCGGTCTCGGTGGGAACCGAACCCAGGCCTCCGGGGTGCGAGACGAGCACGCTTCGACGATGCCACGGTGGTTCCACGGTTCTGGCTGACCAAAGGTGTGCTAGCGGGTGTGTCATTGCACACGTTAAGGCCCGTTCACACATTTGCGTTCGGAGCGACCACTATGCTTACGAACGAATGCAACCGCTGCGACTTCAACCACAACTGTGCGCGACGTTTACACACACATGCAACCGCATGCAACCATACGAAGCAACAGCCAATGAGAAACGAGCTTCAGCTCTTGCTCCTAGCCAATAGGAAGCGACCCAGCTACGCTTACAAACATGGCGGACGGTTTCGTGCCCGACGCGGGGTAGCGGGGTCCTCACCGGAGCAGCCCGAGGGTTCGGCTACGGCGTACAGTCACGAAGATCTGCTGTGCGCCTACAATAGCTGTGCAAAGGCTAGTTCAGACATCTAAAACGAACCCGTTATCCGCGACTGCGTCCGTTGTGACCGGAGCGACCGGAACGATCGCTCTGCGCCGCGCGTACACTCCTGCTACCACTGCTACCACTGCAACAAGCGCAGCGGGTCGGCAGCACGGCGACCGCCTCTCCGTTGCCGTCAGCTGTTTCAGCGGTGCCTCCAAAAAGAAGGGGACGCGCTGCCACTCACTTGCGTAACAGAAAATAGACAGACCGTCTTCTATGACCTCAAGCTTTATTACTCTTTATTTCAGGATACGCTTGCAGGGTAGTGCATTAAAAAAAGAAAAAGATGCAGTACGCCGTCTTGGACGATCACGACTTTGCCAACAGTACAAATCTCGCCACACGCCTTTTTTACGATTATAAAAGACGATGTAATCTTAGCAACGATATAGCAACGTAGAAATATAATTTGACAGACGATGCGAGCGTTCAGGATTGCTAACACTAATCACCTTTTTCGGGCGATGAAAACGAGTAAAAAATTCGCATCCATTGTACGGTGCGCACCAGTAATACCTTGAACTTGAGCACAGGCAAGGAATGCGCCAAAAAAGAAATCCGGGTGATGTTTGAGGACACAAATGCTAAGAAAGCACCACTGTAGTCGAAGTAAACAAACACGACGGCACGGGCGTTTCTGCTGTCTTGAGAGTGCCGCCACGAGATCGCCGCACAAGTAGGTGGATCTTCCCTTCTAGTACGTGCTGGGTTATCCTAACGACACACGACGAAAATTCACAGTCAAGGATAGCCCATTTACGGGGAACGATGAGCCTTCACCACACCGTCCTGCCGACGATCACCACGAGCACCGACGCCATGTTTGCAAATAGAAGGAGCCTGGAACGACCGGCATGCAACGCGCGCGACCGAGCTTCTTGACCTGTGATTGGTCTGTCGCTCCCGTCGTTCCCGAACGTAACGAAAAAGTTCAGCCCGGCTCAACTCCTTGCGTTGCGAACGAACACGAACGAAACGACCGTTTGGCGCTTCGTTGCTATGGTAACTTGTCGCTCCAACCGGTTGCATTCGTTCGTAAGCGTAGTGGTCGCTCCGAACGCAACTGTGTGAACGGGCCTTTACGTAGCAGCCATCTCGCTGACTAAAGGCGTGGCCTAGTTCGCGCGTTATTGGGAACGTGACGCCGCAGCCAATAAGGAAGAGGTGGCGCCACTTACTGAGTGTATTGAAACACTTGACCAAAGGGAGTATAATGCTTTCGCATTCCCACACGCAAGCAGTCTTAAGTGTCCTTGCCGAATTTTTCCCCCCTATTAATGAGTGATATAGGCTGCGAAAGAATGTGTTCTTGACAGATCTTCAAAAATGTCCTGGCATAGTTTTGAAACTTAGGTTTTGTTAATCGTTTTCTTCTGCTTTCAGTCGTATTACGTTATTTTTGTGTTCAGGAATGATGTATTATTTTCTTGATTTAGATATTTTTCTTGATTTTGATAAATTTAAGCCAGGCGTGCAATAGTGTTATTTATCGCACTCAGATTTTGTAGAAATTGTATCTGCTTCACAAGCCAACGCGTCTTCTCCCTTATTTCTGTAAATTTTAAATTGTGTTACGATAAACACCAACAATATTGCACCGCACAAAAGATACCATAGCTCTTACTGGACAATAAAGAAAAAATAAATCAAGCGTAAAATGAAACATTCTAGTTGTTTGCATAAATAATGTTTTTCTTGTAAATTATTAGATACGTTTGTTGAACTCATTTAAAAAAAAGAACCCACTCCAGAAATAATGCCTTACGGTAATGCAGATTTTGTAAATAAAAATATAAGCGAATGAGTATAAATTAAGGTTTTCACATAAATCGCAGAATTATTCCTGAATGGAAAGATGTTGCTTACAGAAGATAATTTGTTCAACTAACTTGTTTGAAGGATAGGGGCGAAAAACCTCCATCCAGAAATCCTGTTGTATTCAGGGTAAATGCAAACTCCTCTTGACTGAAACTAAACGAGGTTGGCATTTCAGGAATTGCATGAAGTTCCGTGTAGTTTTTGCAGTGCATGGATTTAGGTACCTAAAATAAAAAGAAAGTTTAGACAAATTTTCCGCTTTTTTATGCGTCATCTCTAATTACATTTAGCAATTATACGTGGTATCAAATCATGTTCATAAAAAAGTAATATCCCTAAAAGTGTTCTTACTTCGGAATGACTGAGCATTTTAAACGACGTGTTACTCAAACATTTCTTTGTCAATTAGTTTGCGTGTATTTCGTGGGTATGTTTTGTTTTTGTCAATTTTGTTGTATGCATTTTTGCCATGATGTTTATATAAAAACGCCGGCAGTATAAATTAAAAAAAAAAATTAATAAAAATAGGTCATAAATTAAAACAATCTCTAGAATCTGTTTTTCTCTTGTGCATAAACTTAAAGCTCCAGAAGTAAATTATTACGTGTCATATGCGTACAAAACGGTAACAGGGATGCAACCCCTAAGCTAAGGATCCTAATTTTCGCTTTCAATATTTGGTACGCATTGAAAAACACTGCGTGCGGTTGACTTACAATCAGGAGCCATTTATGGGTGACTTGAGACGCTGATTATTATAAAGTAATGATTTCGTCAGTGCGTAGGTAAAACCATTGTCATCAGGCGACTACTGTTAAGTATTTGCCATTGCAATTTATAAGCATCTGTAATTATTTATTGCTTACGTGTTTCACTTACAACTATGTCCATGTGTCGAAAATTATTTTGTCAGATTTAATAAAAATGGGGTTATAACCACACTAAGTAAAATTTAGTCAGACCCGTCTAAAATAGTTGCTATCTTTTCTACTGGTTTCCTTTGGGTTATTTTTCTATTTTGTTTTTGTAGCCGTCTCTAACATAATAAGAACTTAATTTAATTTCTAGCTAATTTTGTAATTTTTGTGTGTTCCGAATGGGTCGGGTTTATGGTCTTTTTTCCTGTGGCACAATTATTTTACTTTTGCGAGAAATTTTATTATTTTTATCACTCTCGGTTCAGTGTGTATTCCCAAGTGGAAAAACACGACGAAAAAAATAATTATTACATTTTTTTTGCTTTGATGTTCAGTCTTGTTAAGGTGCAAGGTAGGTCTCCACAGAATTTTCTGCTTGCTTAATTTCGGTTCTGTTGGCATAAAATTGGAGTTTGTACATTGGTGTGATGCAAAAACTCCGATTTTACGCCGTTACTTCGTGCACGATATTGTCACGGGTGGTGACCAAAAGAACAATAAATAAACAGGAAGAAATGAACGTTTAATATGGGGAACTTGTGCCCAAAAACAGAATAGAAATAGGATAGCGTCGCAGGCGTCGATGGTCGCGAAACAGGAAGAACACTAAATTCCAGGATAAATAAAAGACGCGTCACTCCCAGGAATCGAATCCTGGCTCTTCGCGTGGGAGGCAAGCACGATAACCGTTCAGCCACGGCCGCTCGCGTCAATATTCATTAAAAGTTAACTGTTCATATTAGGAAACACTATTTTGTTTGGAGTGATTATTTGAGCGGAGTGAGTGAAAGTGAATAACTTATACGACTACTCTAATATATGGTATTCCTTTGTGTGCACCCCTCAGGACTAAGGCGATTTCGCATTTTAGCGGACACTAACAGCTAGTGCTCGTTCTTCTATTTAATATTATATTGCGTTATAATATGAATTTTTAGACAAAACTGAATTAAACGATTGCATTTATATGATAGCCATTTTTCAGAAAAATACTCATTTGCTTGATGTCGGGAAGTTATTTTGCTGGAGAAAAAAAAAATTAATACCGTTCATATCACTACGAAATTTAAAAGTATTATCCCAGTCAACTTACCTGAAACATATCGTCTGAAAATTTCGGGTCTTTTTGGTACCAAGGGATATTCTTGAAGATGTAGTGTTCATGTCTAGTTTGATTTTCATAGTATTCGCCTTTTTGCTCAACATGAACAGGCATTTTTTCTTCGCCACTTGGAAATCGAAAAGAAAGGTCTGGAATAATTGTTATGGTGTTTTACTTTTTTTTCTATATTTGAATGAATAGAAAGTACAAGGTAATTTTAAATAACGTATGAATAAACCGGGAAATTTCATGCACCATCGAAAGGTAAAAGGAAATGTTCTGTATGTTGAGGACAATTCTGCAATTCTGGAAACCGAATATTTTTATGTTTAACGCTTCCTCGTGTCTAACAAGGACCTGAACGCACTTTGAAGAAATATGTAATTGGTAATTGACAAGAAACAGCTCCTCGTAGTGCCGTATACATTGAATAATACTTGAAATGTCACATTGAATAAAAACGTTTACGATAAAATTGTGTCAGTAATTCATGTGCTATGTGATGTTCGTGATCGACGTCAGCAATTTCAGAACATTGTCTGGAGCCTAGCGAACCCAAAAGGTGTGGAAGAACACCTCAAACGACCAAAAGATCCGAAGTAAACCAAGTAAAACAGAATATTTAATAACGTCCGGATGATGCACACCAAGCTTTCAAACCGTAGCTCATGCGATGATTACACGTAGTATTCTAAGGTTGGAATGAGGAACGTGTTCCAGAAATAACCATTTTTATATTCAAACTTTCTAACTATATGTTAATCCTGACAGAAAATTAAAGTAGTTTTCTTTAAAAAATTCGTAGATATCGCATCGAAGCACACGCTAAATCTTTTGTAGCATTCTGCAGTCAATATAATGTCAATGTTCGTTTAAGATCAAGAGTTATATCAAAAAGCGTGCCGTAGGAAGTTATAAATACGTCTAATATTAAAGGACCGAATAGTTTGATGGTTGCCCATTCTTAATAAGATATTGTTTTTTTTAATAACGTGATACGTTGCAGTATATTGCTGCCTATCCGCTGCTGTTCTCTTGCGTATTTATAAAGGAGTAAATGTTGCTGAATACGGTCACCAAATGCAGCTAGAAGTGTACAACCTTACCAAACTTCTTTAATATTTGAAAAGCACTTCATTGCTACTCAAACAATGCCGCTTGTCTAGTCCATCATATTTCTAGATCTAACTATAATGTATACAAAGTGACACTGAGCATGAAGTGGGCATGTCAAGCGTCATATGCTTAAGGCCCTGTCACATTGAGGCAACAGTTGGACAACTCTATCCGGCAACAAGGGGAAATCGTGTTGCCGGTGACCCTGTCACATCGAGGCAACAACAACGGTCGGGCAACATGTTGCTGCCGCTCGGCAACCGTGTTGCCCGATTTGTTGTCCGACAACCCTGTCACACTGCGCTGACGGCGAGGACAACACGGGGAACACTCCGCCATCTTGATTGTTTACCTTCGTTCGTGTGCAGCGCGGAATCATTGGAAATGTGACTCTACAAAGTGCTAGTGCGTTCGAAGGGCCGGAAATTGCCACGGGACGACATCAACCAGTGACTGTGATTAGAAATCTTGACACGGGGAGTATTTTTCGCTCTTTATTTTATCAAAATGTTCTTCATTCGCTGACAAAGCAGATAGTCCTAACCGCGGAAAGTGACATCGCTGATAAATGTTCGGGATTTTCGCCACCGTATGAAGTGTTTCTGTCCGGTTCTTTCTTTCATGCAATTCCTATTTCTACTGTAAAATTGAGTTAGCACCGGCAGTACCCCAAAGCGTCTTTTGTAGCGTGGTCTTGAGCTGAACAAACAGTGCTCAAAAAATCAGACACCGACACGATCGGCCTTCGTAACAATCGCTGAAATAAATATTTTTCAACGCTGTCTATTAGCGCCGAGATGTTTCGGTGGCGCCCTCTTATGGTTTCCCTCAGTGACGTCACGACTGGTATTTGCCTCGCCGTGACGTCACTAGTTGTTATTATGGCTACTTACGATCGGGTGCAACGACGAGTTTGATGGTGTGTTTAAAAAGCACAGTAGAAGCTAGGAGCCATCGCAATCCGAAACTAACACCGTCAAAGTTGACAATCTGACAGTGCTCATATGCCCATGGTTTGGCCAATCGTGGAAAGCTGGCCACAGCGTCGCTTTTGGCCGCGCACATCGCTAATATCGCCTGCTATGTGATCGCTTGATTTGCCAAAACGTCCTTGGTATTTTTAAAACAAATCAGGTTTCTCTTAGTGCCAATTCCAAGTTCCGAAGCATTAAAACAACCAGAGTGGTCGTTTTAATGCTTCGACTTTTAATCTTCAGTTTTCTGGATTATTTTTATTATACTTTATCAGCAGGTGAGTAGGCATGCCATTTTATTTCATTATCAGTAATGTGAGTTGGTCTCTCCGCAGTTCTAATTTAAAAACCAGTCTGAACGTTCACGACCGTAGCTGTGACCATTGCAAAAATTGCTCTCCGTAACTACGCAGCAAAAACATTATTCAAAAATATTTTAGCTGCACGCCAGCCCTAATCATTGTTAAAGTGGCCCTGCAAGGACTTTTTTACTGGTTTTTAATTTGCACCGAACCTGAGCGCACTGAACGTAGTAACTTAGTGAAACATTTATTTTCTAGAAATTCGCTTTATTTTAAAAGTTATAGGCAAATTAAAATTACAAAAAATAAGCAAAAAATAACCTCCCTCATGACGTCCTTGGTTGCTTGAGCGGCCGTGAACTAGAGGAGGGGAAGTGGGCTCATCGCGAGCGCTCACGGCTGCGATACTCCGTGTCGACGGCGCGAGAGGGCGCCACTAAAGCATGTTCTGGATAGGCTGTATGCAGCGGGCAGCCAGAGCGGTTCTCGTTGCATTTGCTGTGCAATTAAACGCTAATTCGGCATGACACTTCATTGACCACAAACGACACCAAACACGGGGTGAAGATCAGTTCAGAATGGGAGCCACTTCGCGCTGCCATCCCGCGAAACGGCCAAACCGCAAGACAAAGCATCTCGCCGAAGGCCTTGGGAACGCTCGGAGCCGGTCGGATCCTCCTGTCCATACGAGCGCAGCGCCGCCGCGTACATCCGGGACCTTTCCGTGCAGGCGCCTGATCCCGCTATTCCTTTCTAGTGTGCGCCGCCTTTTCCACCGCTTAGTGGCTGGTATGTTGACGGGTCATTTCTTGTTTCCGTACTTTATTAACTGCATTTCTTTCTTTTCTCATCTAAAATAGTGAACACAAGCTACATTTATAATTAATTGAAACGATTCGCGCCGCTTATATTTTGTATTTCCACTAAAAAGAAGCTTTTAGCGGCTCTGACCAGTAGTAAGCCCAGGACCAAAGACGTCACATTTTGCGCGCTTTCGGTACCACGGTTCGCCCTCGTCGGTGGAGGAGGTTTCCGCGTTGTCCGGTTAAAATATGACGCACTGATATTTAGTTACTCTCTCCGTGCCCGCTGGCTTGCCCGAACTTCGAGAGACGTGGAAACCGCAAAAAAGGTAGACGCTTAAATATGATTGTAGGGCCCCTTTCAGTAACGCTTTCCAAGCCTTCATTCGAGTAAGACGTTATTGACAGGGGACTAGCTCTACCATCGAAGCTATCTATGTTGTCGTGTTTCCGGCCTAAAATTCACTCAGTGGCGATCAGCGCAACATACGTTGTCCAACACAAGTTGCTGCTGTTTTTGTTGCCGAAAGCTGTCACACGGAGGCAACATGTTAGTTGTCGTCCATGTTGTCGTGGTGTTGCCGCGATGTGACAGGTTTGTTTGGACAACACGGGGAGCGAACAACAAGTTGCCCGACTGTTTGATAACGTGTTGTGTTGCTGTTGCCGTCGTGTTGCCTCAGTGTTACAGGGCCTTTAGGATCACATTGCAGACTTCAATTAGAGATTTAATATATTTTCGGACATCTAATTCGCCACGCTCCACCGCAATTAGAATATTCACAGGACGGGAAACGTACATGAATTCCTTCAGAGTTATTTGAACATTATAATCTAACTGTAAGTCAAAAGCGTTTGCACTTTATAAACCTATCAATTTATGACTGATAATAAGACATTTAGCTTAATTTTTCAAAATCTCTAAAAATATTATAAAACGCGGGGTTTAAGTTTATGAAATTACTATGATTGTAGATGTTATTTGGGGGAGAGCTTTGATCTCAAAATGTACATTATTAAGAAAAGGTGGTGGGCGTACACTTGAATTCCCCAGAACCGCTACCCTAAATAAATAAAGTTCGTTTTTTTATGCATTTTGTGACGGCGTGCCACTTGCTCTTTTTTTGTCTTGGCACTTCAGAATGAAATGATGTTGGTTGTATATGGTAGATGAAAGTATGCCACAAAACTTCAGCCGCATATTTTTCAAGTATAATATACAGGATATTGTAAAAGAGCTTACCTTCACCCCAGTAATAGTAGGACTCGTATGTGCCGTTTATAAATGTATCCTTGACGCAAGCTGTGTAGAGTTTGCTTTTGATGTTTCGGGTTGCTGGGGAGATAACTTCATTTTTATATTTGTAAGAATGCGGTGTGCCATATCTTAGAACTTCATTGGCAGTGGGCATGTCGCATGGATTTGTGTATTTCTTCACACAGGGAAAACGCAAATGAAGGTATTTCGATCGGAATGTCTTGAGATCGTAAATGCCGCACTCTACCTGAGTTTTAAGATCCGAGCCGCTGGTAGCTGTAAGTATAAAAAAGTAGCTGTATCCCATTGATAATTTTTCATATTGTACTTTCTGTAGATGGTGTCGTTGCCACGTTCCGCGTTCGTGGCACTGAGCCGCGCGCCACCTGCAGACTGAGTGTGTATGGAAGACGATAGACTGACGCTGGTGTCGTCATTATTTATACACTTTTTACAGTATGACCAGCTTTACGGCCATTCGGCTCCGATAATACAGTCTGAAACACATTCTACAAAGTGTTGCTGCGCAACATCTATCTCGGCCTGATGAAGCACCAAAATTCTGTGCCCCGTGAATATTGCCCAAATCTCAAATTTCGTTTAGGTTTTTCCAGATAAAAAAAAAAAAAAAAAAAAAAAAAAACGAGAGATAGAAAAAAAAAATTGCGCCAAAATCACTTTTCAGTTTTGTTCCAGTCAATAGCTGACCAAGAAATTTTTAAATCATGACTTTCGTTTCTTGCAAAAAGTTGAAATCACAAAAATACATGAATATCGAAGTCGCCAGCCATCTATCACTGATACAAAAATACTCTTTCAAATTAGATTTATACTTCACAGCAGAGAACCTGGCTTCCCTTTGAAGCAAACACTCATCCTCCAAGAACAAAAATAAACACCAATCTATTTGCTCCCCTTGGTCAAACTTTAGTGCAAAATTCTAAACCAAAAAATAACCGCAAGAGTAAAAAAAAAAAAAAAACCGAAAGAAAACTTTGTTTTGTTTGAAATTGGGACGTCTTGTAGGCCAACTTTCAAAACTGACCACAACCTCCAAATAAAACAAAACAAAAAAAATCAGTCTGTCCCTTACCTTCTACTTAACGCCACTACGCTGACTCAGAGCTGCCAGTCAAACTTTGCAATGATACATCGCTTGAGCTTCGACTGCTATAAGCTCAAAAGACAACATAAAAAACTGCAAGCAACCACACTAAGTGTGCTGCGATTCACAATAGCAGCTGTTGCGTAGTTAAAAGGTGTGCCTCAAGATATTCGCTTGTAGCATAATATATGTAGGGGATGTGCGAAAGGCGTCTACGCGATGCCTCTCGTGCGCGATAGTCGGAGTCGCAGCTAGGGAGGGTTGCTGCTAAAAAATCTCAGTTCATATATCTTAGGTTGCTTTTATATACGATGTGATTTCCGGTTGTCCAAGTATAGCCGCACGAAAACTCCCAACCTCGTCACAGATGGGACCATTACGAAACTAGTGCTTCGATTATAAAGACTTTCATAAGGTGTTAAATGCCGGCTAAAGTCTTGTAAACCTGTCAAGTCAGCATTCCTTGTCAACTCAACGATCAGCAGCTTCCGTTTATCGAAGCGGTGTTCAGCGTTCGCAGCTCAGCTTCATGCATTATACGTTTGATTAAGCAGATCTCTCTAAAAAAACCTCTGTGGTCTTCATGGGACTGGTTCAGTTACTTGCAGGCAAGGCATAGGTCGGCATTTTGAGCCCACCTCACTCGCACTCAAAATCACCCCAGTTTCTCTCGTAAAAACACACTAACTCCCACGATCACGATTTGTTCAAAACTGGGTCATTACAGACACTGACCTTCACGAATCAACATGAAACTAAAACTCACTCCCACTCACAATCACAAGCTTATTACACGCACTCACCATCATGATTAAACACGAAACCAAAACTTACCCAGGACTTCACGAGCATGACGCTCACACAGGTCATCACGGTCATCACTTTTACAGCTCATCATGGTTAGTACACTCATAGCTCATGACAGTGATCATACTTACAGCTCATCACGCTCATCCCACTCACAGCTCATCACGCTCATCACACTTACAGCTCATCACGCTCATCACACTCACAGCTCATCACGGACATTGCATTCACTGCTCATCACGGTCATCACACTCACTCATCCGCCGACCTTACTCAGAGATGCTTATCGCCCTCACCGTAATCGCGGAGCTGGCGCTCGTGTTGCGCGCGGGTGGCACGCGTACAATCCCGCTGCAATCGCTGCCGTCTTCTGCCAATCTGGCGCCAGCCGTCACGTTGCCGAGTGAAGAACTGTTTTGTCTTTTTGCTTGTTTCGCTTCGACTCATTTGAAGGGCTGGCTAAGCGCTCGAGAAAGGCGCGCTTTGTTTGGATACAAGGGCGCGTCATCGTGAGTCTCATGAAGTATTCTTTACGGTCACACAGTTCGTTTCAAGCGTTCGCGACAACTGCGTGCAAGTATAAAGAGAGATTCTGTAGCGCTATTTATTTTGGTGTAAATTATTAATAATTAAACATGCAGTGCGATGGGTATTTTCTTTCAGCCTATAATAATATGGCAAACCTCTCCTTAATAATAAGACGGTTTGCGCGGCAATTCGTTGTGGAGTAGAACTATATAGAACGGTCTCTCTTTAGATAGTTATCACCGTTCGCACAAATTATTTTGCATAAAATAAATGCCTGGTATATATATTTTCTTGAAGAACTAACGTATGACTTTTAATCATCATACGTGGTATCCAGAGAGGAGTCAATCGAAAATAACCGGATGAATGAACGTATACATGATCGAATGATTCAAAGTTTACAAGCCGCAGAAAGCAAAATCTTAGTCGGCTTTGCAAACTTTAATTTATAACGAACTGAAGAGGGACCAGCCAAGTCCCGAAAGGTTTTCGGCTTTATCCTCTATTGCCACACATGTCTTTAACCATCAAGGGCAATTATACTGGTTTGAATGTTAGTACTCGGGAGCGCCTGTTCTCTTCCGGGCGGATATATATATATATATATATATATATATATATATATATATATATATATATATATATATATCAGGGATGGGCAAAATACATGCAAATATGTATCGAAATACAAATACAAAATACTTCGTCAAATATGTATTTAATTACAAATCTAATTACATTTCCAAAAAAGCATTTAAGTACAAGATACAAATACAACCAAATGCATTTGGTTTCCTGCAAATACTTTTCCAAATACGTTCCTCAAAATTTGCGTCAGTGACTTCAGGGCACCTGCAACGGGTTTCTAATGGTGAATTCCGCTCGCAGATCTCGAGCGCTCCAAAAGCGCTCCAAAAGCGCTCCATTTGGAGCGCGCATATTCCGCTCGCAGATCTGGCTCAAGTTGGTCATCTTCCGCTCGTAGATCTCTGGCAGCGCCCGCTCCACGGAGATCCCCAAACTCCGCCGAACTTGCACTGCGGGGTTTCACAGATCTCTCCGCAAGTTGACAGAGCGGCCCACGTGATTTCCGTCTAAATCGGCGGTGCGCATGCGCGGCGAGGTTGGAGAGATCGGCGGGCCGGTCGGGTCGTGGAGTTGGAACTGTGCGGGTGCGTCGGTTGTTTACTCTGGATTCTGACGGCTCGAACGCTTCTACTTCGCGTAGATCAGGGATAAGAAGCCGGGAATGTGGAGCGTGGCAAATCGTAAGCGCTGACATCTGTGAATGCGAGAGGAAGAACGAGAAAAAGAACGACAGAAAAGCCGGAGGAAGATGCAAGGTTAGGCCTATTCATTCTGCAGCCAGTGATTGTTTACCTTTTTGCACTGCATTCCGTCGGCGTTTTCTCGTGAAATAAAACAAGAAGTGGTTAGGCAATGACCGCGCAAGTGATGGTTTGTTACCTCTGAGTTTATTAAAGTCGTACTACAAATCTGAACTCCACCGCTGGCAATCGCTGTCCGTGCCCCGCCGCTTCGAGGCGGCCGAAAGGTATGTGACGGTGCCGAACGCGGACTTCTTCGTTATTTGTGACATGGGCGCCGTGGTACGTACAATTTCGCCCGGCCTGTGTCGCGTGTTACTTCTGCAGCTAAGCAGTGACAGTCGTCACTGGTCGTTGGAAAGATCAGCCGGCTGAGGCGTTGGGGGGACTGGTCAAGTTCGAGCAGCGGCCATTTTCTACGGCGGAGGGAGAAGGGGTGTGGGGACAGGTCGCTCCAAAAATGCAAGTTTATCTTCCCCTCGTCGATTCGGAGCGGGTCCCACGGAGCGGAATTTTGCCTCACTCGCGGATTTTGGAAGGCGCTCCAGACCTACGAGTGGAATTCACCATAAGTATCTCATTTTAATTTTGCATCGCACACTCGGGAGTTAGTGTGCGAGGCTTTAATAACGTAATAGAAATATAATCACAAAAAAGTGAAAGCCGCTTAGAACTCCCTGTAACGCCGAATTAGAGCGCAGCTCTTGAGGAGGAGGAGGGAAGGGCACTGGGGGGGTTAAACTAACCAGGGGGGGGGTCACGTGACCTTGGGGGGTCACGTGACCTTGGGGGTCACGTGACCCCCAATGCCGATGATGTCATCACTGACGTTACTGATGACGTCATCAGTGACGATGACGATGCGGGTACCGATGACGTCATTAGTGACGTCACTGATGACTTCACCGGTGATGATGACGATGACGATGCGAATGTCGGTGACGCCATCAGTGACGTCGCTGATGACGTCATCAGTGATGATGACGATGACGATGCGGATGCCGGTGATGACATCAGTGACGTCACTGATGACGTCATCAGTGATGATGACGATGACGATGGGGATGTCGGTAACGTCATCAGTGATGATGACGATGACGATGCGGATGCCGGTGACGTCATCAGTGATGATGACGATGTGGATGCCGGTGACGTCATCAGTGATGATGACGATGACGATGTGGATGCCGGTGACGTCATCAGTGATGATGACGTCATCAGTGACGATGACGATGTGGATGCCGGTGACGTCATCAGTGACGATGACGTCATCGGGTGGTCACGCGACATCGGCGAGGGTCACGTGACCTCGGGGGGTCACGTGACCTCGAGGAGGGGGTCACGTGACCTCAGGGGAGTCACGTGACTTTGGGGGGTCACGTGACCTCGGAAGGGTCACGTGCACCCCCCCGAGGTCACGTGACCCCGGTGGGGAGCTCGCGCGCTGCATTATGGGACATTTCCCATGATGCACCACGCGGTTACGCCGACGGCGACGGCGACGCCGC